CGCGCGTCGGAGGGACCGCCTGACGCGGGACTCCCCCCTTCCTCCCGGTCAGAGTGGCTCCTGCCTCCTCGGGGGTTTATTTAGGGGCTTTTTCTGGGGGTAGACCCTTCGCCGCGGAGATGAGGAAAATGTCCACACCCGGGTGCGTGAAGCTGCGCCACTTTGAAGAGATGTCGCTGATTAGTTCTCAAATACTCGATTTCCTCTCTTCTCCCCCTTCCCGACCAGGCAGCTGCATCTTGTCCCTCTTCCAAAGCCGCCCTTGGCCAGCAGCTTGGAGGCGATCGAGGAGGGGAGAGCCCCCCCCCGGGGAAGCCCGGCTGCCAGCTGTCGGGCAGCGGCGCAGGCAGGGCCCCCAGCACCTCCTGCCCTCGGCCCTGCAGGCTCGGGGCCGGCTGGGATCGGGGCAGCAGAACAAAAGAGCCTTAGAGGAGGATAAGATCAGGGACAAAATCAGCATCGGTCCAGGTCGCAGCCTGCCCCCACCCCGGGGGTGCAACACACCTGGTGCTGGTCCTCCCTGTCCTTGGGTGAAGACTCCCTGCTGCTGCTCGGCCCCGTCTCCCTCCCAGCACAGAGTTGCTGCCCCAGTGCCAGGGACTGGGGACCAGGCTGAAGGCTCCTGGTCTGCTGGTTTTACAGCATCACTTCCACAGGCGGGGCTGGGCCAAGTGTCGCTTTGGGCTGCACCTGGCTACAGATGTGCAGGAACAGTGAGAAATGGGGTAGACACCCTGATGGGGTTTCCCAGCTCTTTGCAGCATGACTGTGTTGGCTCCTGGGGTTTGGCAGCTTTCCTGTCCACCCAGTAGACCCTATTTGGAATGGAGATCAGCACTGGAACCAGGACCAGCACTGAGGTTGTATTTGGGACCAGAAGAGGGAGCAGGGCTGGCATTGGGAGTGGGTCTGGAATCAGGATTTGGATCAGCCGTGCAGGGACAGGTTTGGACTGGTGGGTCTGCTGCTGAATTTCCTTCCCTTGAATAAACTGCCTGCCTTCAAACAATCACAAGGCAGTTTCCAGATCAGACCCTCTGATGCTGTGCAATATTTTGGGGAGGTATGAGTGTGGGGTCCAAACCTCATCCCTCAGCAGATACTATATTTTGCTATCCCCAGCCAAGGCCCTGGGGACAGAGACAGTCATTCCTAGGCCACACTTGGACCTCCCAGCAGCTACATGCTACTCATGTTCTAATGTCAGTGTGCCTGACTTTAATAAATTGTTATTGTTGTTATTGTTTTATTGGTTTATTGTTATTATTGTTATTATTATTATTGTTATTGCTATTATTATTATTGTTGTTGTTCTTGTTGTTGCTGTTGTTGTTTCAGAACTAGAGCCCCAAGGCAGAAATGTGCCCCATTCTGCCCATATGTGATGCCCCCCTACAACACTGGACCCTGGACAAGTGGCGTCCAAATGATTTGTCTGTGGGTCCCAATGCAGGTAGGAAATCCTGTGTACAGGCAACCAAGCAGCATACACTGCCTTCTTTTTGGACGTCTGCCCTTAAAACCCATTTCCTAGGCTGTTTCTGTTCACAAATGCGCAGGCATGCACCAGACGAGGAGATTCCTGATACCAGCTGCATTTCCAGTCACCTCCTCACAAGCCCCAGTTGTACCCCAGGGTTGGCTCTAGGACTCTGACAGCTTTGGGAGTTGCCATGCATCCCAACTCACCAATGGACAGGGCCAGGCTCTCCCGGCACCAGTCGCCCAGTGCAGGTTTAGCCGTAGGGCAGGGCTGACCCCAAGCATTCCTGGAGGCTTGGGGCGTGGGGAGAGCCCTGACTGGGCTGGGGGGACATTACCTCCACGGCTGGGCCAGGGGACAGAGTGGACCAGCTGCTGGGCTGTGGCAATGACTGTAGCAAGAGTTAGTCTAGAAATATCTGCTGGTGGCGCATAGACCAGTATCCTGAAAGGGTCTGGCTTAGGGAGACAAATCCCCGGAGGCCGTTGTACTGAATTTCTCTCTGAACCCAAGCCGTGTGCTGGGAAAAGCCGTGCCCAGGCAGGTGTGGAGAGGGACGCTCAGCAGGGACAGGCTTCGGTGGGATGCTCCGGTAACGAAATGAACGTATCTTCATGAGAGAGAGAAGGGCAGGGCGGCTCGGGGTGGGGGGGAACGGTAGAAAGGTGTGTGTGTGTGGGGGGGATAGTCAGCCGGCGGTCGCAGCGACGGGGAGGAGCGGGGGCCCGGCGGTGGGGAACCTGCAGCAGCGTTAAAACCCCCTTTACCAGTGGGTGTCACTGCAGG